GATGTAGCCCTTGAGGTTGAATCGCCGAACCAGAAGGAGGAAGAGTCGGCTCACTTTTTGTAATTAGGTTGGGAGAGACTGAGTTGAACGGGGACGTGAAGTTTCACGTTTGAGATTGTTGTGAAAGCAAGGTGAGGAGGTTTGGAGGAGGTATTTTGGGAAGTGATCTCGCTGTTTTCGGCCATGGTGAGGGGAAGAAGAGAACCGCCGAGGAGGAGAGGGTGTCGCCGGTGAGGAGAGCTGCCGTGGGGAGTCGGCGCTGACGGCGAGAGAGAGAGGGCCGAACGAGAGAGAGAGACAGGGGGTGTAGGGTTTTTGATTTTTAGGCTCTGATACCATGTAGAAAGGTTAATTTCATTGATCAAATATGTGAGAGTACATGTCTATATATACATAAGAGTTCCTAATCCTATACAAGGTAGGAGTCAATAATAGGAAACAATATATTCCTAATCTTATACAAGGTAGGAGACAATAATAGGAAACAATATATTTACATTAAATATAGAATATATTTAACAAAAAGGAATGCACTAGCGGGCATTTTAGCGATTCACATTGGCACAAAATGTTAGTTCAATAAAAAAGTACACGTGTATTTTGTGTTATTGTAAAACATTACACTAGCACAAAATATTGGTACACATGTACTTTCTAGGATATAAAGTGGGTACATTTTTTCGGTGTACAAATATCATTTCCCCTGATTTTTACTTTATTATTCACTATATTATTGAATCAAGGAAAATGCTAAAAACCCCCCACCCTTCCTACCAACCATGCCCCCCTACATAAACATGTGGTAGGGAGGCAAGAAAATTAAAATTAGAGGGTGGGTGGAGAATGTGTAGAGATAAATATGTGGTGGAGAAGTGGATGGAGGTATGGGCGGATCTACACTTGTTAATATGGGGGCGAGCTGCCCCCAGTGAATTTTTTTTAATATATATATATATATATATATATATATATATATATATATATATATGTATATTTTTTATCCTTAAATAGAATTGCCCCCAATAAAAAAAATCCGCCCCCCCTGTCCAATTGGCCCAAAGTAATTAAATAAGGTAAAGACCCAATCCAAAAGTGGTCCCAATTGTCCAAATTCCCAAAAATTAAATATACTCCCTTAAATCCCTTAAAGGTATCCTTTCCCTTCCCTTTGGCTTTTGCAGAACCGAGAAGCAGCGCACAACTGACCTCGATTCCCTGAAGCGCCGAACAGGAGCACCGACTCGCCGTCGCCGGTCCGCCGCGTCGCCGGTCCGCCGCGTCGCCGAGTCTCTTCCAGTCCGCCGCGTCGCCGCCACAGGCCCACAGCTTCAATCCTTCAAACCTTCAAATTTCAGGTATTTCCAAATAATTTCTTTCCTTTTTAGATTATGAACTCAATAATTAGATAAATATGAAAATTAGATTTATGTGTAATGTGTGAAACCTTTTGGATAATTTGTTTTTATATTTCAATTTTCTATAAAATGAAATTGTTTATTATGTTGATTAATTATAATTTATAATTGTCCCAAAACATATGAATTGATGACTCTAGTCTCTAAAAATATATTAATTCTCAATTCATATATTTAAATAATTTTCTCTAATATTTGCACATAGATTTAGTAAAAAAGTTTATTTCATTTTATATTTTTAGATAATAGAGAAGTTTTTTAAATGGAAGTCCCCTTCAACACGTGATTCTGGACCATCTGTACCTTCAATAGCTAAAGAAATAGATTTAAGTGATCTTCCGTGGGATCCTTCAAACAGAAAAAAGATTTTAAAGTATCACCCTAATCAAAGAGATGAAATAAGAAGAAAATATTTGATTAGAAGACCCTGTCAACCGCGTGGCCATGATTTTCCACGCAAAATGATTGGGAATAGTCCAAGGCATTTTATTGAAGATTGGTTTGATAAATATCGTAATGGGTTAGAATACACTTTGAAAACAGACAAAGCATATTGTTTGTATTGTTACCTTTTTAGAGATCAATTTGGAAGACAAGGTGGGAGTGATGCATTTGTTGTTGAAGGTTTTAATAGTTGGAATAAGACAGAAAGATTTTCAAGTCATGTGGGTGATGTGAATAGTTTCCATAATAAAGCACTTGAGAAATGTGAAGCTTTAATGAAACAAAATCAATCTATACATGTTGCTTTTCATAAGCAAAGTGACTTGGTTAAGAATGATTACCGAATTAGGTTGAATTCTTCAATTGATGCAAGGAAAAATTTTACATTTCCTTTGGTCTATCGCTTATTGAAGCTCACCTTAGTTTTACCTGTCGCTACGGCAAGCGTTGAGAAATGTTTTTCAGCAATGAAACATGTGAAGTCGGATTTGCAGAATCGAATGGGGGATGAGTTTTTGAATGCTTGTGTAATTTGTGCTGGGGAAAAGGAAGCATTTTTAAATGTTACAAATGAAGATATAATTGATCGCTTTCAAAAGATGAAAACTCGAAGAGAACAATTGTAAGAGGTATGTTCTATCTATTTAATTGTACCTTGTTTTTTAATTTAATTTTAATGGTAAGAAGTATGTTCTATCTATTTAATTGTCTTTTGTTTTTAAATTTTATTTTTTTCACTTTAATTTACTTACTGCCTCCAACGAAAAAATTTCTTGGATCCGTCATTGAGTGGAGGCAAGGTTGGCAGCAAGGGTGGTGGGTGTGTAGCACGGTCCTTGAATCAAACGAGTCACAACAAATGAGGAGCATGGAGTAATATACGGTGGGTATAAGATCTTCTTATAGAAAACCAAGAAGACAAGTGATTTGGTCAAAGGAGAAACTAATGGTGGGCCTTCTATTGTGTAAAGGAATGGGACAAAGGGAGAGGAGAATGAATTGAGGAAGAAGACGACAACTTATGGAATGATATGATTATCTTCTCTTCATTGCCTTTAATTTGCTTTATAGAAACTGTTCCCTCTCTTGCCCTACTCTCTCCACCCTTTATTATTTTGATGGTACACATCATTGTCGATTGATTCTATTCAGATACCTTTTTGCTTAATTGGTGGAAATCAAATTCACTAATTTCCTATTTCTACCTTTAAAAGAAATCATTTTTTCATTTTCTACTTTTTCCCTTACAGAAAGATGTTTCTATTTCGTTTTTTGCACATCTTATAAAACACTTTTATCTCGTCTCAAATATCAAAAAAATTTTCAAAACCACTTTAATTTTACGCACAATAAATAAGGAATGTAGTAAATTTTAGGTACTTTAGAATTTAGATATGGGTATATATAAATGTTTAATGTGATGCGCAAAAAATGAAACAGAAATATCTTTTTAGGACGAAAGGAGTATTTTTTACGTCTCAAAATAATTTTTTTCATTTGTTTTAATATGGAACTCATGTTCTTTATATTTCCCCTACACTTTTAATTTAGTTTCATAATTTATCGTTTTTTAATTTGCATGCAATTTTCTTCTAGAAGGTTAAATTTGAGACGAAAATAGTATTAAAAGAAAAAGCATACATGCTCTCGTGGTTGACATTGCAAGAGATACCGTCTATAATTTTTTCGAAAATATATTCTATTTTTTACGATTGACACTTTAAAATGTACTATTAAAGTGAAATAAAGGTGTATAATGTATTTTGATGAATCACGTTTAGCACTCGATTGATTTTACTCTCTCTGTTCCATATTGGATGTCACACTGTGAATAACGTGCAAAATCTTACTATTTTTAAAATCATTTTAATTACAAATTAGTATAGAAATAAAAAGTATATATAAATGACACCATTTAAAAGCACATAAGAAAATCTATAAAACAATAAGTGACAAGAATATATATATCATTTTATCAAATTATCAATGAAAATATACAAACCAACAATAGTTATCGGTGACAGTGGTATTCATTTCGAGACAAAAGAAGTACTCCGTATTAACTTATACCGAGTATAATTTCTTACTACAAGTGCGACAAACGGTTTTCAACTATACATGAATGAGGTTTTTGTATTTATTATTGATTTATTGAATTGTTAAAATCAAACTATACCTTCTTTATTTATTTACATGATTGAGTGTATGATACTCCCTCCTTTTCTAAATAAATTATTAAATTACACTTTCCGTAAAAGGGAGTAGAGTCTCAAATTTTTAATTTTATTTAAAGATTGGTTTAAAAATATAATATAAAACTTTCTTTTCAAAAAAGTACATCAACAATTCTACTTGTACAAAATAAGAGGTGATAAAAATACTTTATTTCATCAAATAATGAACAAAAATATTCAAATAAATAAAGCTCCCGTAATTATCTCTTTGTTTTCCTTTCCTGGAAAAGTTTTTTTAATTTATTTTTAATTTTTTATAATGTTTTAAAAAATTAAAAATTCTCAGTGTTTGAAATTAAAAAATTAACATATATTCCATCTATCTCAAATGAAACATTTTAACCTTTTGTTTTCTAGAATAATGTTTTTGGTAAGTTAAAAAATAAAAAATATAAAAATAAAAATATAGAAAAATGAAATTAAAAAAATTAAATTATCTAAAAAAGAGTTATACAAAAAGAAATTTTCAGAACGTCTAAAAAAGTCCTTAGAATTGGGATGTCCAAGAAGGATATTCATTTTTATTTTTCTTATTTTATTCCTCATTTTTTGAAGTTCTCAAAACAAGTTTTTAATTTTTTATTTTAGAAAAAAAATAAATATTTTTAATTTGAGACGCACAAATGCAGTATGTGTTAATTTTATTTTCAAACAAAAATAATCTTAAATTTTAAAAATATTATAAAAATAATTTTAAAAAATTCAAAAAAAATGTTTAATAAAAGAAACAGAAAAGGAATAAAAAAAATTAAAAAAAAGAAATGAGCACCGGTGCCCCATATAGTTTGAAAAATAGGCACCAATGCTCCCTTTTTGCAGAAAATGGCTGAAAAATGATTAGAAGGGGTATGAGTGCAAAGTTTTTAAATCAAGGAGATTTTTTAAATAAGTTTTGAAAGTCGGGGGGGGGGTATAGGTGCCTGTTTTCCAAACAACAGGGGAGTATTGGGCCATATTTACTCAAAAGAAAATGTGTATAAATAAAATTTATTTAGAAACAAAAAAATTATACTTCCATATTAAACAAATTCTTAGTTTTGATTTTTTTTTGTCAGTGAATTTTTTTTACCATAAGTTAAATATACTCTAGATAAATAAATAATATAAAAAATTAATATATCAAAACTATATCGCAATAAACCCAATTATATTGAGTTTACATTATAATTAAATATACTATTTTTCATATCTTTGTCCAAGAGTATCACTGGTTTGACCAAAAAAGTCAAAACCAAAATGTTTTTATGGGACGGAGGAAGTATTATGTAAGAGACATCTATTTTAGTCATTTTAGTGTCATTTGCTACTTTATATAATTAGATTTACTTTGACGTTGTGGTAAAAATTTGGAGACCAAGAACAATAGGTAGAGTGTCAGGTAGAATTACTCACTTGCATATAAAGTTGGAATCTATTATTCTTACCCAAAAGCTTAAATTGATAGGGTTTCACCCTTCTATATGTGTTAGTAGTATTCATCTTTATTTTTTGATGTGGAAACTCCAACACTCCTCCTCAAGTGCTAGCTAGCCTGACCCAGTTAGCACTTGGATAAACGGGTCTAATATTTCAATCTCTTATAGTTAGCCCACATAACGGGCGGTAGCATCTCAATCTCTTTTTCGCCAACTCAGCCCAAACCACGAACGGGTAGCTCATTTTTTGCTAAACCCACGTCTAACAACCAGGAAGAATCAAACCTGGACTAGACCTTCTCTCATACCATGTTAAAATTCTGGTGGGTCGAGAACAACAAAAAGAGTGTCGGGTAAAATTAGTCACTTCCATATAAAGTCGGGATCTAGTATTTTGATAGATAGAGCTTCACCTTTATATATATGTTAATCGTATTCATCTTTATTTTTCAATGTGGGAACTCCAACACATTGTTAACGAGTTAAAAGGTACAATGCAGAGTGCACGCTCGTTCGACAAGATTACCATGGCCCAATTGCTCCCCTATCCCTGTGGTTTGAAAAATATGCATTAATATAATATCATCTATTTTTAAAATTTATATCTAACAAAATCTTTGTGGTTTCAATACCTTGCACCACTCACACCCATTTGACCATTTTGTGATCATTTTCTGGTCATCTTCTGGTAATAAAGGGGCATTAGTGTTTATTTCCTAAACCAGAGAGGCCAATAGAGCTCATTTCTTATTTTTCTTTTTATTGCTTTTTGGGTTTTTCCTTTTTCTAATTATTTTTTTCATCTTTCTGTTTCCTTTTCTCAGAAATTTTTTAATTTCTTTTCTATTTGTTTTAATGATGTTTTAAAAAATTTAAAATTGTTTGTGTTTCAAGTAAAAATAAAAAATTAAAAAATTCATATATAATCCATTTACGGAGTATTTCAAATTAAATATTTTTCAACTTTTTCTTTTCTAGAATAAAAAAATAAAAATATAGAAAAATAAAATGAAAAAATTGAAACATGCATAAAATACTATATATAAAAAAGAATTTTCGGAACATCTAAAAAAGGTTCTTGGGATTGGGATGTCCAAAAAATGATATTCATTTTAATTTTTTCTTTTATTTTATTTTTTGGTATTTCTATTTTTTGACATCCAAAAAAATTTTAGTTTTAAATTTCGAAAAACAAACAATAAAAAAGATGCAGTATATGTTAATTATTTTTTATTTCAAGCATAAACAAATTTAAATTTTAAGAACATTATAAAAATAATTTTATAAAAAAGTAAAGAAACCCTCATAAATAAATAAAACAAATAGAGATAAAAGGAAAAAACAAAAAATAAATGGAAAATTCGAAATGAGCATCGGTGCGTGCCTCCTATGGTTTGAAAAATAGGTACCAATACCTCTCTCTTTGCCGAAAAATGGTAGGAAAATAAATAGAGGGGTTGTAGGTGCAAGCAGGTTCTGAAACCACGAGAATTTCAGAAATAAATTTTGAAAACAGTTGAGGTATTAGTGTCTATTTTCCAAACCACTAGGGTGGCATCCTTTTATAGCAGCGTCCATAAGGCGACAACCCTGAATGTATAGTTTATCTCTAGCATCCTTTACGAAAAGGCACGTAACATTTGAATGTTTAGTACCAAACATTCGAATGTTTCGTAAATCGATGCGACAGTTCACGCAAAACTACTGAAGTGGGTGTTTACATGTTAATCTGTATATGTGTATATCTGTGTGTGTGTGTACACACACACACATGGAGTGGTGAAGGGTGTGTTTGAGAAATACAGAACATCCATACTCATTTTAGATACAAATGTCTATCCGATTGAAGTATTTTGATATGTCTAAAATAACTTTAATTTGAAAGCGTGTTTCACACAATTCATTGTGTTTATCAAGTCTTCTTTACATTCTTTGTATACCGATCATATCCAACACTACTGTCACCGCTCCCAAATCTCCAAAAGTATATTTTTTCAAGGAAAATGCAAAAATAGTTTCAATTCAATTTGGGAGGATTCTATCTTTGTAGTAGAGGTATTGTCTGAGTTACTATTCAGCTTTTCGATAATTTTTTTTAAAATAATTTTGTCACATTTTCTTTCATAAACGTTTTGATATAATTTTGAAATACTCCACATATAATTTATATTTTTTATTTTGACAAGAGAGAGTATCAAAAGGTGTGCCCTTGAGGTGCATCTGGTGGTGTAGCCTAACATTTTTTCATCGCCCATGTTAGGAGTAAACAGAAAAGTGTAATCCAAGAAATGTACTGATATTTTAACGGTTCATACTGACACAAAATGATAGTTCATTTAAAAAAATTTGCACTGATATTTTTTGTCAATATAAACTATTACACTAACATAGAATGTCAGTGTTTGCCTTTGGGGTATAAAATGATGTACAAATACCTTAATCCATTTTCCATTAATTAGTCAAACATCCCTTTTGTCTTCCGTCCCACCACCTAGCTATAGACCATCTGACATAATGACAAGGTTTGGGGGAAAACGTTGAAATCATTACACAAAAGTACTTTTTACTCTGTGGTCATAATCAATCCTATTTCCCTCTCACAATTTGTCAATATATGCTCTCTTTTCGCCATTTCAACTCCCCTCCTCTTCCTCCACCCTCCATAACAGCAAAAACATTTACTCAAGAAATAAAATGATCAGCAGAGTGATTTTCATCCGGCCATGGGAAGGCAAAGCCCACAAAAACCCCAAAAAAGCAGGGAAAAACAAGGAGAAGAAAAGGAAGAAGAAGAAGAAGAAGGCGTTTCGGGTTTGGGGCTTCAAATTCCCAGAGAAGTCATCATCACTTGCAAGTATATGGAAAGCAGCAAAATTTGTGAAGCAATTGGGAGGTAAGGTGTCGAAAGCATTTTCGAGGCCAAAGGGGAAGATATCGTCGCGAAAGATATCTTCGGTTAGCTTTGGGAGGTCGAGGTCTTACACGGCAGAAACACTGCTTGCTGCAGATTCTCAGAGAGCTGAGGCCATTGAGGATTGCATTGAGTTCTTGAACTCTTGCTCCTCTTCTTTGCCCAGATCAAGCTCTGTTTCCAGTTCTGTTAATTATTATTAAGGTCAGTTTCTTGTATTAGTGGACAAATTAATATGGTGTAAATCTAGCACACACACAAAAAAAAAAGGAAAAAAACATAAAAGAGAAACATGGATACTATTATATTGATTTGTTGGTTCAATATGTTGTGCAAAAAAGTGTATTCATCTAACTGGTCCTCCTCGGCAGGGTCAGGAAGAAAAATAGTAGTACCTACGTCTCAATTTAAATCGTCTGCTTCGATTTACGATGTTTAATTAGATATATTTTCAATACGAAATACTATTTATGCGAGAATTTAAGCGAAATTAAAAAAAATAAAATTTATATATTAAAAAATGTGAAATTTGCACTAAATAGGACTAAAACATAATGACTTTCCCAATGTAGGACTTGAACTTTTTTATTTCCTAAATAGGACTTAATAATGACCTAGTGGGAGGAATAATGTCCAGTAATGATGGACATTTACTTGAATAATGACTACTTTATAATGACTAAAGGTCTTATATTGGGAAATAAAAACATATAGTCATATATTGGGAAAGTCATTATGTTTTAGTCCTATTTAGGTAAATTTCTCTTAAAAAATTACATCAAAAGATCAAGGAAACAAGAAGTGATATGATTATACTTCCTGTGTCCCAAACAAAACTCCTTATTTCTTTTATGGGATGTCCCAAAAAAGCCTCTTCTTTCTTTTAATAAAAAAGTTTGGGTGACTCACAATTTTATCTCTTGTGCATCACTTTTAATCACATACGGAGTATATATTTTCAGATTTCTTAAACTTTGTACTAAGTCAAACTCTAAACCTTATTTTCAGATGGAGGGGTATTATTTTATAAAATGAGTAGCAAAAATTGAGAAAAAAAGTGAATGAAATTTAACTTTATGAATAGTAAATATGTAACTTAATTTGAGACAGAGAGAGTACGAGTTATACTGCAACCGTCCCTGAAAATTCTTCCTTTTTTGATTTTTTTGATCAAACAATTATATTACACTACTCCATTACAAATTGTGAGAAAAGTATATTTTTATATTATATATTCAATTTGTGAAGCGAAATTTGGTATATCAAATTTCTATAACGTTTATTTATTTAGATTATGTTTAATTTGTGTCAAGAAGTGTTACTATTTGACAAAAAAATCAAAATAGGAAAATTTTAAGAGACATATTATTCTTGTCTCATTTCGTCCTAAATAATATGAACAGAGTTGTGTCAAACATAATTTAACACACTCCATTAGTTCATATTTTAAAAGATTTTTGATAGACGGTCTAAAATTCATGGATTCTATCAAGTTTGCGCAAAATTAGTTTGATTTTAATGTATTTTATGTGTACGGTTTTATTAGACTTTGTCATATTGTTTATAATCATGAATTATTTATACATAAACTTAAATTTTTATAAGAATTTATACATTGTTTTCTGATGTACTTCCATGGCATAAACAAAATGATGTGGAAAAAAAGGAAAAAAATGCAAACTGGAGATATGTTGTGCTCTTAAAAAACGAAGAACTCTTTAATTACTTGGGTACGGAGCATAAAAGTACATGGAAAAAAACTTAAAATAAGGGTAAAACATTAAAAATACACCAAAATAAGAGTTTCATAATTTTATATTTTAAATACGTTTAAATTGTATTTGCATTATCAATCATGTACAATGTCACATTACAACAGTGTGAACTCCTATCTAGAGAATAAAAACATTGAATTCCTATTTTGGTACTTTTTCTATATTTTATTCCTATTTAGGGTGATCTCTTAAAATACATTTCTTATGAAATAGTCATTCGATATGAATGAATCAGAAAGTTACACAAAGTCTTCCTTCGTTTCACAAAACAATCTCGTCCTAATTTTTTGTGCATCCTTTAATACATTTCCACCCCACTTAATATAATGTAACACCATGGCCCTCACTCTAGCTGTAAATGTCCATTCAAAAGATTATAGACTGGCCCCACAAACCAACGCAAATCTTTTTCGATCACTTTGTCTTCAATCATGCGCGCCCAAGGAAACTTCTCAGGAGATCACCCATCCTAGAATTGCTCTAGGTCAAGCACACTTAATTTTGAAGTCTCTAAATGATGTGCTCTCGAAAAGAAGATGCACCTTGTTGGTATGAGTATTACTATCAATCCTTTTGAGCTCTTCACATTCTCATCTTAATACGAGATATTACACTTAAAATATCTAAAATATGCCCTCATTTCATCGTTTATTACAAGTAGAAGTTGTTTTAAAGGTATTTTATACATTTTAGGTGAAATAAAATTGTTTTATGGAGCTGCAAAAAATTAGAGTGAAAATATTTTGTGAAATAGAGAGAGTGGTAGATTGGAAAAAAAGAGACTGTAGGCTTAATATATGAGTTTATTGCACCATAACCCCATGTGATTTGGTAATAAATGTGCATTGTTACTTCCTATGCTTTCAAAACTTACGTTGTTGCATCTCATGGTTCTGATATTGCTATGCCAATGCCCATCTGTTCTAAAATATCTTTCAAATATTATGTAAATAGCTTCACTGCCCCTATGGTTTAATTTGGAAATTGGCACAATCGCTCCCTCTTTTCTTTATTGTTTTTTTTCTACTACTTTTTTCATAAGTATTTTTATTTTATTTTTTTTAAATTATTTTTTTATTATATTTTAATAATCAATTTTTTTATGCTTGCAATAAAAATCATATAAATAACAAAAATCAAGTGTACACTTCAAAGTACAAGTAATCGGAAGGGCTGTAGGTGGAAACACCTGTAACCCGGTTTGTTATTGATAATACTAGGACTATTACAAAGTACAAGACGTGTAGGTTAATAAAAGCATGCCTCACAAATGAGGCTTTTAGGAGTATTTATAATAAAAACAAGCATGTCAAGCACGTCCCGACGTTACTGTTCTTCCGGCCGGTCAGTCTTCAAGTCATCCACCCGGGTAGGCTTCAGGTCATCCATCCGGGTGGTCTTCCAGCCATCCACCCTAGGCAGTCTTCAGGTCATCCACCCCGGGTGGTCTTCCAGCCATCCACCCCGAGCAGTCTTCAGGTCATCCACCCCGGGTGGTCTTCCAGCCATCCACCCCGGGCAGTCTTCAGGTCATCCACCCGAATTGGTGCTAGTGGATTATATCCATCACTTGGGTTTCAACTATTCATTTTTTGATTTTTTATGTTTGTCTATTTAATAATACGGCCCGTACTCCGGTGTCACTTAGAACCCCAGCGTTAATAATATTCTTAATTTTTGGAAAACATATAAAAGAGTTTCGTTACATTATTAAATGTAAAATAAATACATATACATTCATTACCAATCACTAATCACCCCAAAGGCCCAAACTGATATTTCAGGTAAATCCTGTCCCCAACCCAATAGACCAAAGTCCAAAGTACAGCACCAGCTTGTTAAACAATTGAAAAATGCTAGGGGTACACCAAATGTGTACCCCATAGGCCTATATGTTCCTCACTCCCTCGTCCACAAAAAAGGTAAGAAAATTCAAAAAAAAAAAATAAGTAATACTCCGTAAAAATCAAGGGCCTGTTTGAGAATAGCGTTAGAGATTAGTGTTAGCGTTTTGGATAAAATTTTAACGGTATAGATTACTTTGAAAATGCTAACGCTAAACGCTGCCTGTAAATAGCCTTTTCAAAACACTAACGCTATTCCCAAACAGGCCCTAAATAAAAATGTGTGATTCCCAAACAGGCCCTAAATAAAAATGTGTGGGGGAGAAGTGGTGGTGTACATTTGGGATAGCATTCCTCTAAAGAATTTCCTCTGCATTACCATCAATCAGCAAACTATTCTGGGATTATGATGAAGATGAAGGCAAAATCCATTTTCAGCAAAAGTTCGCCTTGATTCAGGAAGCCATTACCGCACCAGAAGAATGGGAACTTTGCCACACCTCAATCCCCTCTGTATCTTCTCTTGTAACGAAAAGCCTGTCTCCCCCACCCTCAATCTTCTTGATTATCCCTCTCTCCGAATCCCCTGCTTTATCAACGTAGTTTCTCCTGTACATTCCCTCACAGAGAACTCCATTCTCCGGTTCTTCCATTCTTGACCATACCTCCAGCTCTCCCCCTCTCCCCACAAACACTTGTTTCCTGTAACAATGAATCAAGAAACCATTCCCGCCCCCATTTTCTGCACATCTCAGACTCGGGTTCTTCTCTTTCAGATAAACCCACGGGTCGTCGGTCAGTTTCCGGAGGTCTGCCGCAGCCAAGTCGCCGGACTTCGAGCACAGTTTGAACAGAGTTAGATCGTCTGGGTCCACACCCACGTCGGCAAATGGGTCGCCAAATCTGCTGCTGCGCCCCGAACCCGGTTCGTTGGTCTCCCAAACAACCTGTCCCGATCTCGGGTCCCATAACCGGACATATCCGGAATATCCGAACCCACTGGCAGATATGGAACTTCCGACTAAAACACCGATCTCCGGTACGAATGTCATCTTTCCGATGACGGCCGTTTTGGCCGAGTTTCCTGATTGCCTTCCCAGCTCCGAAGTGACTTTCATAGTGGACTTGTCGACCGCGAGGATGCAATTCTCTTTGTGGTTGACCTCAAAGGAAGCGTAAACAGAGTCAGCACAGTCGGCTATGGCGTTGACCCGACCCTTGTAAATTCTCGGGTCAGACGGGTCACTCCACTCAGTCGACCCGATCCGGCGCCCGTTCGCCAAGCTATAGAAATGAAGTCCTGAATCGAATTCCGACCCGATTGCAGCGATATCCGGGCGAACCATACGAATGGAGCTGATATAGTCCAGATGCGTCCGTACAGTTCCCGAGTGACTCAAACTCCAATCGAAGATCGAGATCTGACCGCCGTGAGCGACCCAAACCGATCCATCGGAATCAATGGCGTTGAAGTCGGACACGATTCCGTCCGTGGAAGGTCTTATGGTGGTGAACAGCGAGGCATCGATGCCGCTTAGCCGGATCGGAGCCAGAGCCGATTGGAGTTGCGTTTCGATGCCGTAATAGGCGGCCTCGTCAATGAGCTCCTGGTTGGAGAACCGTCTCGCGGTGGAGGGGAGGCGGTTGGTCCGGAGGAGGGAGAGAAGGGCGGAGAAGATTTCCGGGTCACGGTCGATGAAGACCGGGTCATGATAAGGCCGATTGGATAAGGCAAATAAAAGAGAGTCCGGACCGCCGGACTCTAGCGTTGAGATGGTGGTCTCGAAGAGCTTGCCGCCGACGTTGAGTTTGATCCGGCCGCCGCCAGGCTGGGCATTTTGGGAATTGGGAGGGTCCATGAATCTTGAATTCTGGATAGATACTAAAAACTGTTGGACATAAACGGATGAATTGAGGATTTAGAAGATTACTTGCAAGATTCCCGGCCAAATAGCTCCCAACATTACTTGTGCACCTTTAGTGCAAACTATTTTTTTAGATTTTCACATATAAAAAACTTTTTTTAATTGTTTATTAAAAAATAGATGTTTATTTAAATGGTAAAATTTTTTTTATTTTGCTCGTATGTAGGTTTATAATGGACTTTAGATTCAACATAGAATATTTCTCCTCCAGTGCTCCCTGTGATTTGGAAAATTAGCATTGGTTTTCCTCTATTTTTAAAACATTGCACCCACATCTACTCTAATCATTTTTCGATCATTTTCTAATGAAGATGGGGCATATGTGCCTATTTTCTAAACTACGGAGGCACACATGATCATTTCTTATTTTTCATTTATTACTTCTCTTTTTTTTACTACTTTTTTTTCCTTTTTTAGCTTTTTTATTTCTTTGTTTCCCTTTACTAGAAAAGTTTTTTAAATTCCTATTAAATTTTTTATAATGTTTTTCAAAATAAAAAAAATCTTTCTTCTTGAAATAAAATTTTAAAAAAATTAATATATACTCCATCTATCTCAAATTAAATATTTTAACTTTTTGTTTTCTAGAATAATTTTTTTGGTAAGTTCATAAAGAAAATAAAATAAAAAAATAAGAATAAAAAATTGAAACATCTAAAAAAGAGTCTTACACAAATAGGAACTTTCAGAATGTCTAAAAAAAGTCCTTAAAATTGGGATGTTCAACATGGATATTCATCTTTGTTTTTTTATTTTATTTCTTATTTTATTCCTTATTTTTTGAAGTTATCAAAACAAGTTTTTAATTTTTTGTTTTAGAAAACAAAATATAAAATTTATTAATTTAAGACGTACAAATGTAGTATATGTTAATATTTTTCAAATAAAAATAATTTTAAATTTTAAGAACATTATAAAAAAAGTTTAAAAAGAAATTTAAAAAACTTTGATTAATAAAAGAAACAAAAAGGGAAAAAATAAAAAATAAATAAAAAATAAGAAATGAGCACTAATGCCCCTATGGTTTGGAAAATAGACACCAATGCTCGCAAAATGATCAGAATACGTATGGGTGCAACTTTTTGAATCACGGGGATTTTAGAAATTAGCATTTAAAACAAAAGGGTATTGGTGCCTATTTTCCAAACTACGAGGGATACTGGTGCTATTTTGTCCTAGATTCTCATTCTATAACCACTCCCTTTGAACGATCACGGATTCACGGATGACATTGTATAACTCTCTTTGAACGATCACAAATGATATTGTCCCCGTCGAAATACTTATGGTGCTTCATTTGTAAAATTAATAGTTCATACCCTACTAACCCTCCCCCCTCACCACCAAGTCCCGACCCCAACCAATCCCCCACCAACGTCAAATACGAGATGCAAATCCAGTTGACTTTGAAATTAATTTTTTTAATCACAAAGTCAACTAAAAGAGTGTGGCCATAGAATCGGACTCGAGTTTTAGTTACCCTCAAGTTTAGACTAAATTTTATTTTTTATTATTTCAAAAATGCTTGAACTTTAAAAATCTTTTACTAGCGATATTTGGAGTCGGTTTTCAAGTGATCATCATTTCATTTAAACTATGTTTGGTTCAAGAATTTCGAGAGGAAAAAGAAAAAAATAGAAAATAATTTTTCACGTTGCTTAGAGAGGAAAAGAAAATGATAAGCTAAAATAAGCAGACGAGGAAAACATGATTCCTCAGAATTTGGAGTGAAAACGAGAAATCATTTTCTTTCTAATTTCGTGAAACAAACATAGTGTTTGGTAATTTTTGGTACTAGAACTCATTAAAATTTTATATTACAACTCCAACATATAAAATTCCACTATTTCAAATATTGTTTGGAAAACTATAAAATCTCAATTTTGAAACGAGCAAAGACAAAGACAGAAACAATTTGATATGTATTGAATTGTTGTTTCATAAGAGACGTTGACTTTTTTATTGTAAGTTCTAAATTTAAAAAAAGTCAAGGTTGGATTTGTAAATGACAAGGGTGAGTAGTTTTGTAATTGAGTTTATTTTGAATTAGAAGAATTTGATTCAATTTTAAATCCATACACTTTAATATCCAAACAAATAATCTAAATTTTCAAATTCAAGTTCCCAAATATATCTTATGGTCAAATTAAATTTTATATATTTCAAACCTTTTTAATTGAAATCTCATTTCTTTTTTCTTTTTCTTCTTTCACCACTTGTTTTTCTTTCTCTTCATCAAAACATCCACACACCCCATTGGCCCACCCACCTTGTCCCTTCTTGTTTAACTTCCTCACACCCGCCAGTCCGATCCCCTCACCTCTTTTCTTAGCCCCTCTCTCCCACTTCTTCTTGAGCTCATTTTTTTGTTTGACTTTTTAAAGGAAACACTAAAGTAGGGGTAAAATATAGAAAAAGAACCAAAACAAAGCACAATTCATACTAGTCTGGTGACAGACCCAATTCAGCGCTACAAAATAAAACTCAATTCCTGTCTAAAGGTTCAAGTGGAGTGAGTAACTAGTAAGAGATCCTGGCTAGCTATTCATCCCTTCTTTCTTTAGGTTTAATGCAATAAACCCGAGATCCTAAATGGTTTACTTCAAGACCGGCCTCTCCACAACCAGAGAAAAACAGCAACTCGTCTTCTTTCCCAATTCTCCGCCTCCAGCTCATAAGGAACGCTGGTCGTGGCAAAGCAGACACCAAATCTGAGACCCAAAAACCCATCCCTGATTAGGACTTTCCATCAAAGCCACTCTCTGACTTAACAATTCGCGGAGTTTAAGAAAAATTTTAAAAAAATATAAAAAAAATGCTTGGTTAGAATTTGTCCAGAAGGGATAGAAATATTGTGAGTCGCATATTCTTTTCCTCGAAAAGGGATGTGAGAAGTATGACTTTAACTCTGGGACGTATCCAAAATGGAAAGTGAAATTTATTTAAGGACGGAACGGGTATACTTCTAAAATATCACAAAAGACTTGGTGAAAACAAAGAGGGGAAACACTACTATACCATGTTGTTGACAATCACGAGGTTCAGAATCAGCAACTTCCGGTGTGTAGGCTCTCAGCAGAAACGTTAGTGTTTTTATCAAATTTGGATACTGCTTAACATCTGAAGAGGGGCAGCGTAGAATAGAAAAAGAATAATTTCGCATGGTAAAACAACAACAATCCAATAAAATCCCAACTCTGTTGGTTTATTGGGGTCAAATGTACAGTCTTAACTTTACAAAAACATAGGGGTTCTTTTCATTAGACCCTAGATGTATTGCGGCATTTATTGCCAACAACTTCAAAGAATGTAAGAAGTACTCTTTCCGTCCCAAAATGTTTGCCACATCACACAAAACGAAGCAAAATTCTAAGTTTTTTCAATTTATTTTGAAATAAAAAATAAAATTTATATATTTAGAAACTACGTCAAAAGTTCTTCAAAAGAAGAGATACAACAACAACAACCCAGTTGGATCCCACTACAGTAGGGTCTGGGGAGGGTGTGTGTACGCAGACCTTGCCCCTACTCGGAAGCAGGGAGGCTGTTTCCAAGAGACCCCCGGCTCAACCTGCACAAAAAACTTCAAAAGAAGATATGACAGTAATATTTTATTTTGTCAAACAATCAATGAAAATGTACAAATAAACAAAAGTTTCCGCGATTTTAATTAGTAAACTGTGACATTCTTTTTTAAACGGAGGGAGTAAGAAGCAAGGAAAGTAATTTTTCATTTTTATTGAGTCTATTATTTGCCTGAAATTAAAACATTGTCAATTATTTAGCAGTATTACACTATTATTGCCAGCAATGCTCATATCCTCTCTATGAATCCGCATAGAATTAAGTACTTACACAGCAATATATCGCTTGCAATGATGAGGTCCCAGTGGGGGTTGGAAATTGGAAATGAATCTCCCCATGTATCTGGCAATTTAGAATTTACAAATTAAATTTTAAAAAATCAAGACAAAAAAGAATGTACCCAATTAAACATAAGGGGAGTTGCAAAAGAGCTTAACAAAAATGAAAACTGAACTAACGCTTTAAGTGAGGAAGGGCAGGTGAAATTCCATTAGCTTGACAGTTATGGGCTATATTCTCCTCTATAGCTTTATCATCATAGTCTGATGTTGTGATATCAAGCTTAAATGATTTGTGTAGAAATATGGCTAATGCGCCAGTTCCACTGTAAGAGTGGTAAACTTCATTAAAAGAAAGCCTAAAATAACTATTGAAATTAATGGCCACTTCAGAAAACATTCAATATAACTAAATCATTAAAAGAAACCCCAAAACTATGATTGAAACTAAGGACCTTCAGAAAGCTTTCAAGATCTGTTCATTCTTCTTTAGACCTTTGGGCTTCAGTCCATGTCATTCTAAGAACTTCAGCTTAATACAAAATTTAGTCTCCGACACACCAAAACTACACTCTTCGAGGCAGGAAACTTGCTTCTTTGTACTAACATGTACGAATTAATGTGGCCCGGTTCTGCATTCATCTTTAATAGTTGTTACACCTACTTACCCGCAAAAATCCTAGCACAATCTATCTTTTCCAATAAAAGTTCGAGCTCATCTTAGCAAGCACATCTTATCCTTGTCACACATTTCTTAATTATTAAATCATCCTAAATTGCTTAATATTTAGTTATAGCAGTCTAATAAAATGTTCCTTCAAGAGTTAAACTACAATGATTACACAGAATTCATGTAACTTATTTCAGTTTTGGTCAGCATGCAATGTTCCCAAAAAACTTTAGGCTCTGGTTGAACGGTGACCTGCTGCCTAAAAGCTCTTAGGTTCTTTAAACGAAAAACTACTATTACAAATTTCAATTGCATTTATCAACGAGTTTTTGTCATTTTTGCTTCCAATGAAAGGGTTCTTCTAGCGCAAAACACCATTTTTTTCGAAAACTTACGAGCTTATAAACTTCTAAAATCACATCATATTAGTAACTTAAAGTAAAAAACCATACAGCACTATAACTGAGTTTATACTACTACAGTACTGATCCCAACTTACACCTGATGGGGGAAAGCATTTGAAATGCTCATAAAAAAACGCATGAGTTAGGCTTGCTTGAGTGTCAAACAAAAATGCAAGCCAAACATTGAGAGAAGAGTGTCAAGCCCACTGATGTTGCTATAAATTGCATAACACTGCTCTTCTCTCTCAAAACTTGATCTTATACTCTTCTCTTTCCCTCTTTTTTTTTATCTCGATAAGCATTAAATTTTACTTTTCTTTAATAAAAAAAGCAGGTTTTCCTTTTGCATCTTTTAACTTTAAATACATTGCCTTTGTCATTTTTCCAAATCCATTTATTAGGGGTGGGTTCGGTTCCTACAGTTTGGCTTTTCCCTAAAACCAAAATGAACGGTTTCTGTTCAGTTTTGGTTTTGGTCTTTTAAAACCGAACCAAATTGTTAAAAACTGAGTCTCATAAAATGACATTGTTTAGACTATGAATGTTATACTTGCCTTGCCTCCGGACAGTCACACAGTCTCTTCACCCTTTACATTATGACGGAGTAGTTCACGCTTTCCTTTTCCCATTCATCGCCGCTTAAAATCAAAATCTCTCCTTGAAATCCTCAAATGCAAGATGCCTTCATGATTCAAAGTTGTCTCTCCCAAAGCCTATGGAGTGATAGACAACGATCGATAGAGGTAATTTTTGGCGATTTAATCTTATTTGTTCCCGCACGGTGCCTTTCCAGCTTATTCCATCTTCTTCTCGTATGAATCTCAACCACTTGATTTGATATATCTTACATTCTGATGTGTTAGTCTTTCTTATGTGTATTCCGATTCAGGCTAAGCTTTTGAGATTCATACTGTTCTTGATGATTTGTAGTGATTCAAAGGATTCTTATGTTTTATAATTCTAAATTGAATTCTGATTAAGGGTAGATTCATATAGAATAATGATTTAATAAACTGAGTGATTATACAGAAGTTTCTTCTAAACATTTGATTCTGCCACATTCGGATTTTGTATTGATATATTTTACTTAATGAACTCTGCAAGACTGAGTTTGCATTGCATTTGAATTTTGAACTTGAACTCTGCATTGAACCTAGATTCTTCATTGAAAGTGAATATGAGTTCTGAATGCTACATTAAATATGATTTCTAAAATTTCAATACTGCATTAAATTTGAATTCTGAACTCAGTGACTATTATATATGAATCTAAATACTACTCTGCGCTATGAATTTGAAGATAAGTGTGATCTTTGAAACTGGATTCTATTCTAAACTCTAAGACTCCAAGTAGTTCTGGATTTTTTGTTTTGACTATGAAACATATTTATTAGATTTTATTATCCTTTTTTGGGTTATGTATTACACTGTATAATGTATTTTCTTAGTTAGTGTTTTTAAAAACTGCAAAACCGCCAAAAACAAAACCTGAACCACATAAAACCAAACTGTACTGCTAATTTACTTTCGGTTCCGTCTTTGGTTTTGGGTAAAAACAGAACCATGGAACACAAACCCAGCCCTAATTAGACCACATGATCATACACGAAATAAGACATCTTAGCAACTGGAAAGTGCTGAAACTGAAGAAAAAAGCACGAAACTTCCTGGTAGACTCTAGAATGAGGAGTACCTGCCTAACTCAAGTGTTCTCCGACCTTCCAACCAGGATCTATGTTCCACTAGCCACTCTGCAAATGCAAAAGTCCCTGGCCAAAGCAAATTAGCATTCAACTCATGGAAATAAAATTCTCGAACGAGCAACTCCTGTGCACAAAGCCAACATTTATACACTCATTATATATGAGAGCAAACAAAACTAGACCTGTCTTGTCTTCCTACTTCAATTACTATTTTAAATACATCAGTGATTTCATACGGTTCTACTCAGCAAAAAGGTCACATTCTCCTCATCTATACAATATTATCTCAACTGAAGTTTCAGCTTTTCAAATAAACTTCACAATTAAAGAAAAAAATAATGAAATACTCCATCTCTCTTGATTTATAGTTGTACACTTTTCAAATGTCCCTAGTTTACCATACCCTATTTCATGTTTTAGACAATTTATGGGGATTAAGAAAGTGGCCAATAAATCCGGAAGGAGATAGTACTTTTGTATGTGAATTCAAAAGAATGAATCGCTTCAATAGACTTACCATTCCAGGAAACTGGTGCTTCCTCTCCACGAAGTCTTGGTGGGAAGAATCTGTAAACTCCTCGTCTGGAAAGAATCCCAAAGTGATTTAGACGTATAACAGTGTGAAATCGAAGAGGGTAAGTAGAATGATACCGGTAGAGTTGCCATCGGAGTCGGCGAATAGAGACGACGGTGAGAATAGAGCTGTTTCCATTGTTCCACTTTTAGAGAATGTGGAAACCCAAAGAGTACATGAAATTGTAGGCTAGAAGGAAATTTGATTTCACAGAGTTATGGACTTATGGTAAGGCTATGTGTTATGACGGTTATGGGGTAAAGATTTATGAATAAAAATGTGTGTTATGGTAAGTTTGATAGAAAGGGAAAAGATATGAATATGTGTTAAATTTTGATTGGTTAAAATAAAATATTAAAAAGAAGAAAAAAATTAAGGAGGGGAGGGGCAATGCCCGCGAGCAGGGTGACGGTAAGAGGGGCAACGCCCCCTTCACTTGAAGCCGGCGCCATGTGTAATGTCACGGACTTGGTCGTAATTCCAACGAACTGTGCGACCTAGCGAACTTCTTCACTAAGTTGCTAGTCAGCCTACTCTCAGACTTAGTGGAATATCGAGATGCTAAGTATGAAGGAACCGGACTCAAAGAAAGAACTTTGTATTACTTTCTCTCTCTAAAGCTTAAGATGCTTCTCACTTCTTGAGTGAGTGAAATGAATGAGGGGGAGAGGTATTTATACTTCTCCACCTCCTCAATGGACGGCTAAGATCTACTTTATCTAACGGTTACAATCGAGTATCTAGAATACTCTACACAAATATCTAAGATATTTACAAGGCTACATGATATCTCTACACTACTCCATAACGTTCCAGAACCTTCCAAGCATCTCTAGCAAGTCCCCCACATTTCTAGAGAATTCCTTAGTCTTCTAGAATATGGCGGATACCTCTGGACAGTTCTTTGGACGGATCTGGACATCTTCAAATCGATCGGGTCGGGTATGGGTTTCGAGCCTCTGCGGATTTTTGGGCAAACAAAGAAGTGTGTCACAAGCGCGTGAAGGAGGCATGAGGGAGGTAGTGACGCCCTCCCTCACGCTGCATAACACATAACCTAACTAACATCAAGAGTGTACATTCCTTAACACATATTACATCTGTCCCTAAGTATTAGTTTTGATTTTTTGCACTTAAAATTAGCAAACTCTAACCACTAATAAAATATAATTCATAATGAATATTGATACAAAAATATTTTTATTATATTTATTTTATAAAATAGTTTCAAAATATAGTTTTATATAATTAATATACCACATAATTTTTATTGAAAATAGGTGGCTGCAAAAAGTCGAAACTGAATGAATATTCGGAGACGGAGGTAGAATTTATTATTCACTCCTCTTTATTATGTCCATCTCAAGAAATGTGTGATGAAAAGTTTGTAATTGGTACTGTTCCGGCGGGTGCAGCGGGCCTGATGATAAATCCTTAGTCCCGAGCTCGCTACACAGGTAAGTTATTTTAATATTTTTGAGTTAAATCTTATTGTTTGAGCATGACGATAATCAGTGAGATGTGATTCTTCTGATAGGCCGCTGAGTGTTTTGTTCTATTTATGGAAATGTTTAAGTGATTGTTATCACTTGAGAACTCTGCTGGAAATTGGCCACCTAGTATACCTAGGCGGATTTGAACTGAATTGGTTAGTTTAATCACCAATAGGACTGTTGTTAGGTTCGGGCTTGTGGAGCATGCTTGCAAATCCATACGTACGGGAGTCATTATCCTACCTAAGGGATTCCTTTGTCTGAGCATCGGCCTCGAGGGATCCACTCGAGTGTCCGTAACTCTAGTCTGTTGAATTTAGCCTTAGTGTTGTAGGGACATAAATAGCCCTTTGGGAATAAATGAATTGGAATTGTTGGATTCTTGTAACTGAAAATAAATGTTGATTATTCACTGATGTTGCTGATTATATAAATGCGATACTATCTGTGAAATTAATTCTAGCGTTAGATATTTCCTCACTCAGTTTTCAGCTGAGCGTGTAGTCTTGTTGTCTTTGATTGCACGCAGGTAGGGATATGGATCGTGAGGGCTAGCCCGGGGGACGCTGAGACGTGACGCAATGGATGACGTCACAATTTTAATTATGTATATTTAATTATTGCGTTATTAAGTATTTAATTTAAACATTGTTTTAGGAAGTTATTTTAATGCTTCCGCACGTGATGGACTTTATGCCAGACTTTTCGTATTTAATTTGGTGTTTGAATGTTTTTGAATAAACTGTCTAAATCGTTCTGATGTGATTATCAATTTAGTAGCAACCCGATTCGTTAACTCTTTGGTTCGGATTACGCGAGTTGGGGTGTTACATGAAGTATATAAAATGAAGAAACATGGTGGACTGGGGATAAAGTACATCATGTATTAGAACTATGCTGCCATTATGAGACTGAATTGGGACATAGCTAAGAAGAAAGATGTATTATGGGTAAACTGGATACACACTAGGTACATTAAAGGATGTGATGTGTGGAATTATATGCCTTGACTTGATTCGTGTCACTATTGGAAGGAAATGGTAAAGATACAAAAGAAGTTCTTAAATATGCCTAATTAATGATAAGCCATTTGAGATTAGAACAGGTTACCCATGGCTACAAGGGGAACAATCAAGCCCCATATGGAGGGAGTGGGTATGGAATAGATTAACACCACCTAAAGCCTAAATCATCTTATGGATTTTGTGGGGAGGTAGGTTGCAGACGAAGGACAAACTTATCAGATATATGGACATCAACCCATGTTATGTGTTCTGTGAGGAAAAAACTGAAAACGAAACAACACTTGTTTTGGGATTGTGGATATGCACAAGAGATATACAATATTGTATGGCAGGAACTCAATGTAAAGATCAGGCTTAGGTCTTTTGAAGAGGTGGGAGAAGAACTCCAAAAAATAAGGAATGCGAAGAATAGGAGAACTGGTTAGCAATTTGGGCAGCATGTATCTGTTATATGTGGAGGGCAAGAAATGAAGCAATACATCAAAAGAAGAGGAAAGCTGAAGATGTAGCTGGTTCCCTTAACCTATTGTCGTCACCGGGCCGGGTTGTGATACCGCTTTGGAATTCGACCTAGCCCTACTGGTGTATGGTGTCTAATAGGTATCGCAAATTAATTATATTGTACAACGAGCTGTACCATACAAAACGGTACAACCGGCAATTAAATGGGAGGAGAGGTGCGTCAATGAAGGGGAAGCCGAAGTGAGGCTGGAAATTGAGGAAGTTCGAATGTGGAGCTTGCGAAGATTGAAGCGGTGACAGGCTCTGATTTCAATGAATTGCTGGCTGAATTCAAGGAATTGAAGGCACTTCTCGCACCTGAGGAAATTAGAGGTCCGACGAGGAGGAAATTACAGGTTGGCAAGAGGTGACAGTTAGTATAAGAAGATGAGACAAATTCGAACACGATTTCAAATGTGAAAACTGCTCTTCAATTGATCTGATGATCACTAAGGTTTCGAGCATGGAGACTGTGTTCTATTTCTCGGATCCACTACTCTCAAATCTGATTAATTAAAACCACATTTTCAAACTTTAGTTGAAAATGAGTGTTTCCTTATTTCACAATGAGTACTACGCTATTTTTAAGAATGAACATTACGTTATTTATTATATTTATATTGAACAAATGTGTGAAAATGGGTACTGCATTATTTAAAAATGAGTACTACGTTATTTCATAATAAGTACTACTCCCTCCATCCCGGAGTATTCGTCCAGTTTTGACTTTTGGAACTGTTCATCTAAGCACTTTGACTCATCAAATTCTCTCAATGTGTAAGCTTAAATATAGTCATGTGTGATCTTGTTTGATTTGTCTTAACATATAGATTATTAATATATAATTTCTATAATTTTTTAATATACAAATTACAAGATAAAATGGATTAAAAAAGTGTATTGGATGATGTGTAAAAATGAAAGTGGACACATACTCTGGGACGGGGGTAGTATATTATTTCGAATACTTATTTTTGTGTGAGAATGAGTATCAGTTTTTACCCCCTAATGAGTACTAGCGGGTGTATGTCTGGGTACATCTCTATTACCCTATGGCCTATACACTCTCATATAAGGGTCAGTCATCCGATTTTTGACGCAAGTTTTTCCGATTATTTTTGAAAATGTCCCCCAGTGCTCTACGATTCTCCACTTCCCCTAATTTCAGCGGCCTTGAATTCTCCCGGCGGTTACCTTCATCTTCGGAAAGACTTGGCAGCTTCAAATTCCTCTGCATTCTCACGCCTTCTGATTCTGATTTGCACTCAAAGGAAGCTAAACAAAATTCTTCTCACCACAGAAGGTACAATATACGGAGTATATGATATACTCTAAGTGGGATTCTTGGAAAGATTCTTTATGCCTAGTCCGTATTATTTTCTCTCAGTCGGATCAAACCCAGAACTTTACTTTGTACCTGGTGATTTTCATTCTCCGTATTTTTTTTCTTCATATACCTGAGAGTTTATTTCTTCTGGAAATTTGTAGAAGCTAATAACCCTTTGTGAAGCTAATTTTGTTTATTTGATAACTGCAATTATGCAGGGAGAATGATGATTCCAAGGTGGTTTTAGTGGAAAAGTATGAAAATGGAACCACTAGGAGGTAAAACATGTTTTACATCATCCCATGTCCTTCTAGAGTCGATAGCACTAAAGCTAAATGCTGAAGTTGTTTCCGAATGGGCAATGCATCATTTATTTTTATCAAGTACTTACAGGGACTGATTTTATGATATAGGTATGTATTTGACAATAGATCACAGTTGAAATCCTCTTTCGAGGAACATGCTCCTAAAGTTTCGGGATCCCAAGCTTTGGATATTTTTGACTCCGATTTACCTTGGCTTCCAAGGGCCATCAAAGATTTTGTTTTACCTGCAGGCTATCCAGGTGAGGAAAAGCAACTCACTTTTATTTTGCTCATCTACATTATCTGTTTCGTGTGCCTTGGAGAAATACTTAATGTTTATTGCTGATATGTATATTAATGTTAATGTGAACCTGTAGAAGCATCTTCAACAACATCCATCCAGGCATTGTCACTATGCTCTTTTCAGATCCTATTTTATCTTGTCATGCAGATACAGTTTCAGATGATTACTTGGAATACATGTTGCTACAGTTCCCTACAAATGTTACCGGATGGATCTGTGACACATTGGTTACCTCAAGTCTTTTAAAGGCAGGTCAATACTATTTAGGCATT